ATGCCAAAAAGGATTTGGGTATCTGGGTCTCCCCAAACTTGTCCTTCTCACTGCACCATGAGAAATCGGCCCGAAAGGCATTCACCATTTTACGGTTGATCTGTCGCACCTTCTCCCGTATTACTATCGTGGACTTCCAAATACCCTATGGGGCCGAACTTAGACCGCTCCTTGAGTACACCAACCAAGTTGTCTACTCAGGACGCACGAAAGACGTCACCCTTATTGAGCGTGCCCAGCGGGCCGCTACGAGAATGGTTGCCGGCCTCAAATCCACGGACTACGATACGCGTCTTGCGATGCTTGATCTCCTTCTCCTGGAGTACCGTCGCATACGATGGGACCTGATTTTTACTTATGTCCTGTTTGAACAAAGCTTGGCAAACAAGTTTTTCACCTTTGACCCAGCAAACACCCGGCGGGGACATAGTAAGAAAATTTTCAAGCTCAGGACACACACATCCATTAGACAAATCTTTTTCTCATTTCGGGTAGTAGGTGTGTGGAATGACCTTCCTCCGACGGTTGTCCACGCTCCTTCTAGAACCCGGTTTAAAGTACAATTAGACATTTATTTATGCGAATGCTCGCACTGGTAAGCATACTGCCCCGCGCTGGGAACGTAAAGAGCAGTGCTACACCAGTTTTCCAATTGTGCCTTTAAGATGAACGACTTTCACTGACCGACAAGAGCAAAACCGACCCGAAAAACTTGGGCAAAAGCCTCGAGCCTCTGTATCAATCCGTGAATCCGTGAAAATTCACTCTGGACAAGTACATACATGGCTATCCTGTCAGGTCCATACAGAACAGAACACACCGTGGTCTATAGCTGGCTTATGGCAACCCACTCCTCAAAACTGCTTCCTTGTGTTTCGTTCATCTCAATCCTGAATATATAATATACGAAGCATATGCAGCTGATGCGGCGAAACAAAACAAAGATTGGCACACTTGTTGTCCTATTCAGCCCGTTATGAATCTAGGACACAGCCTATGAGCAAGAACTACCAGCGTGTAAATAACCCTATTTGAACCGCGAGCCGAATCACAGGACATGGGGACAAAGTTATGACGCATCTTGGACAGTAAGTGCCAATACGGAGAATCTAATAACGATCCACTGCAATTTCCCTGATAAGGCTTCAAAATGCGATAGCTAAATAAAAACCAATTAACTGTTCGTTGCTCCGTGCTCGCTTGCATAGTATTCGGTATCTCACAAACTTTCTACACTGGGTGATCATGCTACACCATCTTTGATTTAAAGACCAGCTGGTATTATTTATTCACAGATGAAATTTTTCGTGTATGCGGAGATACCAGGTCTGCCGAAATATCGTCGGCGATTGGAAGACCACAAATGACGCTATAAAGGCCGAACAAGAGTAAGTAGGAACCCGTTAATTATAATTAATATATGGCGTGGGTGTAACGAATCGCGGTATTCCAAATGTGCAAACGTCATTCTTACGTTCTCAAGACGTTAAACTGGCTAATGCTTCCGCAGTGAGGTTTCGTGGTAAGAACCATCCAACGAAAGCTCAAACGATTCCTGCTTCTGCTGCGTCTTTTGTTGCGACACGACAAATGGAATTTAGCTGGCTGCTCCATAAATATTCTCGTGAAACATTACGTGCACTTGTGGCGTTTAGAAAAAGGGCGGGTCAGTAATATGAATATTGTTTTGGCTTGTGTTGACATCAATATCTGGAGCAAATTCAATGGCATCCGAAGCTTGATTATTGAGGCTCCTACTACTACTTGAGAATTACTCCCCGCACTGAGAATATCGTGTGGTCTATCGTTGACTTTCGAATCCGCCGGAAGATAGCTAGTCCCCCATAGTGTCACTTGAGCAACTCTCCTCCAGTTGCAACTCTACGCATCTCTTGCTGGCAGGTGATTTTGACGCTCTCAGAGCCTCCAGAATAGAACTTCAGCGCATCGGGCCTGGTGGACGTGGGTCCTCCTACAGAAATCTTTGACTCGAAATTTCGTGTCACCCACCGGGCGCGGCGCAGGCAAACTACTATTCCTGTTGGATATGGTAACCACCAAAGAAAGGCAGCTCGTTGAAGTATTATTCCAAGTTCCACTGGAACATAATGACCACTGTGAACTGACTTATCATTCCGCCGGCTACTGGGTCAGGATCCCGGACTCCCGAAAGTGGATTCGAAATTTCTGCAATAACCCTTTGCCAGAAATGGGTAAATTCCTTGAGGAATTTAGAATGGGACAAGCCCCAGTAATAGAGTTATACGGTACACTTTTCCTAAAAATCCGTGTGGTCATCGCGATGTTCATCCCAAGAAACCAGCGCACACTCGGACAGACAAAGTGCTGACTAAGAGTATGTGGCGTCATCTGGAAGAGAGGTACCAACTGATTGTGAAAAAGATAGCTACAGTTGATACAGCAATGAAATCGCATTTCATAAAACTCGTAGTCGCTGTAGAGCGGGATCCCGCCAATGGAACTCATGATACTAGACTTCGTCCCGCGAAATAAAAATGTGCTAAGTACATGAGACACCACCGGCAAATAAGTCAGCCTTCTTCTGCTTCAGAGAGAGAAACAAAAAACCAACGAGTGACCCAACAGTGGTATCTGAAGCCTACAGACAAGAGTATGCATTCCTGTATTCTGCCACAGCGAGCTCGACACATCTAAATTTGCAAAGATATTACAAGAAACTGCCTCCAGCCAAATTGCTCATCACGGTGGAAGACAGTGGCTCCAACACAAAACAAACCCCTTCGGCGCGTTGAGGTCGTACAAGGTTCACCCAAGGATCTCAAGCTAAACCTTGATCACACTGGCAAAGTACTTCTATCTGGTGTTTCATCAGTCACTCGACTGAGGAAAACTCCCATAAGTTTAAATGTCAGCGCCCTTAACGCCAATCTACAAAACCAATGACTGCATATCGCCCGACGTCCACAGGCATATTAGCTTCACTAGCTTACTGGGTAATATGGGACACATTCTGAAGAAGGTCACCCTCAAGTCATCTCGCAACCAAAAACTTGGTGTCCCCAGCGCTACACAGCTGCCGCTAAAATAGTGCCGGCCTCAGATTCGTTGTCTAAAAAACGTGTCTCGCGGAATTGGACCTCTTTTTCCTGGGATATCGCCACCTATAGGGGGGTCCAGTGCTTACTTAGGCCCTGTTTTAGCAAGTTTTTCCCAACCGCTGACCCAACTAACACGGCATGGATATGGTAAGATTTTCAAGTTCAGAACGCATACCTTTACTAGGCAGCAAGTTTTCTCATTCGGAATAGTTGGCGCACGAAATAATCTCATTCCAATGGTTGCTGACGCTTCATCTGGCACCCAGTTTCAAGGGCTTTTAGAGGTCTATTTATTCGAGTCCTCACGATGGCAAGATTGCTTCCGCGAGCAGGGAACTTGAAGAGTTTTATCCGCTTGTGTCTTTCAGTTGAACGGAAGCTGCTAAACGACAGGAACAAACCCGGCCCTGGAAGCTTGGGCGAACACCTCCATCCTGTGCATCAATCCAGCCAAGATGGTGCTCAAACCAAAAGCCATCTTAATGTATGTTCATATTTCTGCAGCTGTCAACTGAAGTAATCACACCTATGGCGGAAAGGTCTGATGAATATTTTCCAAGCATCGCTGAGACCACAGGAAGCGCAAATGGAGGTCAAAAGTTTGGACTGGTACTCTGAGCTCAGTTGCCCGACTGCTTTAGTCCATCAGCGACACGCCATACTTTCCGAAAATTCAATTCCATCGTGCGGAGACTGAGCACCTTCTAAAGGAGGGAAGCAACAGTCTCTCGTAACCACGTGGCCTAATTTTGTTTGGTTACTAAGGCTCCCTTCATTAGACAACGGCTAATAGCATATCGAACGGGGTTATTTTTTGTGCTCTGTCACAGCGCGATGTCCCGTCGTGCACCTATGTGCGTGAAGTTGAATTCAGTAAATTTTCTCATGTTATCCTTCTCAGTCGTGTTCAGCAAATGATCCAAGACATTATTTTGTTGAATCGCACTAATAGCTGTGACCTTGATTCACTTTCGTTTCTGCGAGCGTGGTGAACTTACATTGCGCGATGGATTCAGGTCGAGGAGGCTTTCGTGGATCATTTGGTGGCCGGGGGCGAGGTAGAGGTCGCGGTCGTGGACGGGGTCGGGCGCGTGGTGCAGCTGCTAAGGAGTGGAAGCCAGTTACGCAACTCGGACGTCTGGTCGCGGACAAAAAGGTGACCACTCTCGAGGAGATATACATGTTCAGTCTTCCGATAAAGGAGGCTGAAATTATTTCCACGTTGCTGGGTTCTGCTTTGAAAGATGAAGTTCTAAAAATCATGCCTGTTCAGAAACAGACGCGTGCCGGTCAACGCACACGTTTCAAGGCGATCGTGGCAATGGGTGACAACCTTTGTCACGTTGGTTTGGGTGTGAAGTGTGCAAAAGAAGTTGCCACGGCAATCCGAGGCGCCATCATTCAAGCCAAGTTGTCGGTAATCCCTGTGAGGAAAGGTTATTGGGGTAACCTGATTGGGAAGCCCCATACTGTTCCTTGCAAAGTCACCGGTAAATGCGGATCGGTCACCGTACGGCTGATCCCCGCTCCACGTGGAACGGGAGTAGTCGGAGCACCCGTCCCGAAGAAGCTGCTTCAAATGGCCGGTATTGAAGATGTGTACACAAGCTCACGTGGTCAGACTGCTACCCTTGGAAATTTCGGTGAGTTGCGTTCACCCTATTAAATCATCTCTTCCAGCAAAAGCAACATACGCTGCCATCCGGGCGACCTACGAGTATCTTACGCCGGACCTGTGGAATGTTGCGCCATCAAGCAAACATCTGTTCGTGGAGTATTCCGATTATTTAAGCAAGGCTGCGAAGGCGGTTTGAGTATACAATAAATTTATTGGAAAAACCTCTAGTGACTTCTGTAATAATACAAAGGTGTAAGTATTGCATTCTGTAGAAAAGTTGCTCTGTTCAGTTCTCCAACTGTCGACCTTTTCCGCGGATTCATCTCCAAGGCGCCCTGAAGTTGAAAGAATCGGTAGGGCAAGTTACACAAGTGTTTGCGACTCCTATATACAGTCTCGGAAATTAAAAACCAAAACCCGAATATCCTATGGTTTTGAGGTGACAATTCAGGCGCACTATGGAATTTCATAGTTGGTCATCCAGACACGCAATGAGGTTTTCTGCTGACAGATGTAACAGCATGAATCGTGCACTGCTCTATGTTCTGGTTTTTTAGTCTTCTGCATGACTCCACGCCTGACTGTGTGAAGAAGCGAAGCTATGCGTTGAATATGTCCCGTACCAGTAGTGAAATTTCGTTATTACGCTTTCGGCAAACTCCCGGCGGATCCACAACTCAGCTCCTGAAGCAAAATCTCGTGTTTGTTTCAAAACAGCCACTCTGGCCAATTCGGACAGATGCGCCCCCAGACCTGGCGTCATCTTATATTTCGTTCCTCTAGCTGATTAAAGGGCCTCTTCGGTTTGGTGCATACGGAAGGACACTAGTTAGGAAATGAACCGAACACCGACACCTGGAACGAATTCGTTGTTTGATCTGAGATGCAACCTGGAATTTGTTGAATTGGGTATATTACACATTTCTTTACCTATCTATTTCTGAGATACCATGTTAGCACATAATCAGCTTGGCGTCAGATACATCTGGTTAAGGCGCCAAATTACTGACCGGAAGGTCTCTTGCTCAATCTCCGCCCCGGCATCTAGACTGCTGTCTAGGCTTGCACAACCTTGTCCCCGTGATTCCTTCGGGTGGCATGGCAGCTAGGCACCCAAAGAGTTACGGCTGTTCGACCGTTTATTTAATACTGGGCCTTCCAAAATCTCCGCGGACAGTGGTGCCCAAGAAACGTGCTTCTAAGAGTTGAAACGGCTTGTGAAGCACTACACACCACGGATACTGCACTTACACTGGTGGTAACGTTGGGTGTATTCAACGCAAGGGACCTAACGGACCATACTTGCTAATTCGCTCTAATTGTGGTATGGTCGTGCCCAGGACCTCAGCCCTCGTGTTTCTTTCGAGTGGCATGGCAGCTGGGTATCGAAAGGCTGAACGAACGACGTAAGATCTCGGAGTGTCAACTATCTGACCACCACTGTCTCACAACTCTAGCGAGAATCATGTAATTCACAAGAAAATGATGAGGAAGCAGGTTTTGGGCGATGCAGCAAGTACTTCACTTGAGGTGCGGATCCAGTACCGTGGAGAAGGGTGCCTTTTTCCTTGTCTGTTTCTGAGTGGCAGGAACCTAGAGTTAGGTAGAACGTTGGTTTCAGTTGACTTTTCGGCGTTCAGTTTTAATCCAGCTAGACTGGTGATCTGAGCCCCTCATTTTTGTGGCCCTACGTCCCACTCATTTTCTCAATATACGGCTCCATTTCAATGACGGTCGTACGACAGCTACGTGCTGTCGCTTATGAAGACATTCCGTGGCCAATCCTTTGGTTACCTATCGTGTTACTTAGTGTGGATTACTACCAACCGTTTCCTTCACTGTTCGTGGATAGAGTGGTAAGATGGGTACTCTGCAGGGTTAATGCGAGTTCGCCCAGTCTGGTAGGAGGGACTGACCTTTTCATGACACAAACAATGCTTGAAGGGTTTAGTGGGTTTTTCTTATCTAAACAGGCACCCATCCCCGAATATGACCGACTGATAAACACTTGAAACATTAGACCCTTATACATCCGATGAAAGTAGCATCTTGGAGGTTCACGCTGAACTAGTTGAATCGTTCCTGCTACATTGATGGGGTTGATTAATGATGGATGTGTCCAGTGTTGGAGACGGTTTCCCTTCTTATTTGAGGTGTGTGGGAACTCTATTGGTGCGCTGTCTCCACCATCGTCAAGGGCAACCATGGTGGCTAACTTTTTACCGGGTTCGTCATCCGCAAAAGCATTTCCACCTTCAACTGGAATTTCGAGGCGGCATTGATTTCCCGCGGAGGTTGCATTCTGTGTGGGTGATGCGCCTAAAAGTATGGCAAACATGATTTCCTGTTAGGTCGGCGAGCATGCAGTTTTGGAGTAGGATGTGAGGTTTTAGCTGTGTGCTCAAGTGTCCTGATGGGGCGTGTTCCGAATTTTCCCTTTGCGTTCCTATGGGCGAGGGTTAGTATGCATGTTCTATTCATTGGCAGTTCATGGACGGGTGTCATTATCACTCTCGAAATAGTTATGGGAAAGATACGCGCGGTCAGTACGGATCACCTGCAGCGAACGAAAAGCCTTCTGGGTCTTGATCAATTGGTACCTAGTGTCTGCTCTCCTAAGTCCCAAGTCGTGCACACAGTGGAAATTGCCACTTGGAGACCGTCGTTAAAGGACTGTATGCTAGCCTCTGGCACCATGGTAGCTTATCATTGAGGCTCACTCGTTTAGTGCTATGGCCACTTGATATATTCGTCGTCAGCAAATACTATTGCACTAGATCCGACTGCTCCTCCGAGCTCAGTAGCTTATGGTGTGAGAACGGGTCTCAGGTTGACCCTTGAGGTACTCCATCACAAAGAGACTGGACCTTACCGTGGTGTGACGGTTTGCGCACCTCATCGACCCATTGAGTTACACTAGGGATTGTCCGCGCGACGCTCATAGGGTCTCTCATACCAGGTTGGTCAACGGCTAGAGGTCTGACGAACAGTCTCCTGGTCCTCTAGGTTGGGGGTTTGAACATGTGGTGACTTGTTTCGTAGAAATGGTAATGCATTTGCATTTCCCGCCAAACATCGCTGCCTTGTGGTTAGGCTTTTAGCCAAAGGCTTTGGTTGAGGACCCTAATCGTTCCCCTGTCTAGGTGTGGACGCCCTCGCAGTATCCCAGCTGTCGTACAACCATGACATTCACAACTAACAATACCCTCATACCACATCGGTCATCGCGTGATGCCATCAGCCGGGTCTCCTCACTTGCTGCATACAGCAGGGCAGGTAAGTGAAAGCTGGCTACTGCCGACGCCTCCCTTCTTCCTCTTCAACATACTTTTACTTCCCTCTCTCCCCACCCCATTAATAACTCTCTCCTTGTAGGCCCAGCACTTAGGTCCGATGACTCCGTTCGTCTTGCATCGGTTTTACGTACAACATCTGCTCGTCACATGGCACCTGCATCGTCAGGTGCCATCAAATCAATCTTCAGGCATCGACAGCCTGCCTATCTGGCCGCCTTCAATGTATGCACTTTGAAGCAAGCAGGACAACAAGCTGCTCTTGTACTCACACTGGACTCGCTTGGCATTGATGTATGCTCTGTCTCAGAAACAAGAATGCAAGCACAGTGATTGAGTCAACCGCCCTGTCAGTCTCCACTCGCTTCCGGCTGCGCTGCTCTGGTGACCCAGAGGCTGCTGCGGTGGGATGTGCAGGGGCGGAAGTATCCTTACTTGACTGGATACCTGTTGATAGTCGCCTCTGTGCGGTTCGTCTGGCAACGTCTGTGAAATAGTCTCACAAGTGGCAAGTAGACAGATGTCTGTTTATCGTGTCTGCCTACGCCCCGACCGATTGTAGCTCCGACGCCGTCAAAAACAGGTTTTATAATGCCCTGAATGCTCTGGTGCGGCGAGCTAAAAGCTCAGACGTCGTGGTGGTTGCCGGAGATTTGAATGCACAAGTGGGCAGGCTTAGCCTATCTGAGACTCAATTAGGAGGTCGACATGGATTCGACTTGGTACCTACGAACAATGGTGAATGATTGCTTTAGCTGTGTGCTGATCGCAGGCTTTTTATGCAATACTAAATTCCGAAATGGCCGAAGTCGTCTGACCACATGACGCGGTCCAACGGCAGGCCGGACAAAAGCTCAAATTGACCACATTGCCATCAGCTACCGATGGCGTGGATCAATAACAGACTGCCGGTCGTTTTGGAACACATTTGGGGATTCCCTACGTTTTCCGGGGCCGTGTAAGGTGCGGACAAATCGCTCGGCAACTGGAAGATTTGCAGATTCTGATGTTTGACGAACTTACCGGATTCGTCTTCTAGAGTCTTCCAAATCCTCCACTATCAGATGTGCATGCATACTGGGACGTGATTGCCACCGCTTTGCATAGTGCTAGGAATTTCGCCTGGGGCACGGCACCACCAGGCGCACTCAATCACTGGATATCAAACCGAACGGTGGCACCGCTTAAATCTCGGAGAAGTATCCCAGCTGGCCCGGACATAACTCGATGCGACGAATTATCAGTCGTCGAGTGAAGGAGAGCGTGCAAGCCAGCCATGAAGTGTGGTCGACACAAAAAGCCAAAGAAATGGAAGAGGCCCAGAAAGCCGGTAATATCCGAAGATTATTTCAGTTGATCCGTGTGACCGGGCCCTGGAAACCACCTGTGAGTGAAACCACCAAGGATCGGGAGAGAGTGACTACCTCGAATAAAGAAGAACGCCTCAACCGTTGAGCTGAATACTTCTGACAACAAGTATCATGGCCACCAGCTGGCACCTGTCTGGAACCCACATGTGACATAAAACCCTGGACAGTGAACGTGGAACCCCCTACGGTCTCGAAGGTTTATAACTGCAAATGTTTTCTTGAGCGCCTCTAGTCCGGATAACATCCCACCCACTTTGTTCAAAGATGGGAGTGAAGTCCTCAGTCAGCGCTTGGCTGATCTGTTTGATTGCATCTGGGAAAAGGAATCTGTCCCAGATAACTGGGGAGAGTCCATGATAGTGCCCATTTTCAAAAAAGGGGCTCGCACTTAGTCTGGCAACCACAGGCGGATCAGCTTGACCCCGGTCGTAACGAGACTGTTGGCGTCAATTTTGCTTCGTCACCTTGCGCTGGCTCGTGAAACACTGACTCGAGAGCAGCAAGTGGGATTCCGGCTTGGTAGGGGTTGCGTTCACCAAATCGTCTCACTTTGTCAGGTGCTAGAACAACGTCCTACGTTTAAGCGACATACAATCCTGGTATTTCTGAATTTCCAAGGCTCATTCGACTCGGTTGACCGGTCTGTTCATCTTGACACGCTTGCCCACCGAGGAATGCCCCGGAAGTTCGTGGACTTAATAAGGTCTTTGTATTCTCAGAGTTAAGGGCATGAGAGTATACGGCGAGCTCTCCAAAGGCTTCCGCACACAAAGCGGTGTCCGTCAGGGGTGTCTACTCTCTCCATTCCGATTTGACTTCCTTATCGATGAACTTATGAGACAAACACTGGAAGGCCTCCCAAACCCTGTGTTCGCATAGCCTATGAAGAAAACCTTGTCGATCTGGAGTACGAAGATGACATCGTTCTCACCTTCGAACAGGAGTAGAAGGCGCAGGTGGTTTTGAATGAGCTGACCAAAGTCATGCCGTCCTTTGGTATGCACTTTTCACCCACAAAGTGTAAGGTCATGTTCCTGGACATGCGGTCACTTAATACGCCACTTACAATCCAGGGAGAAGTACTCGAATTTGTGGAGCGCTTTACCGATCTTTGAAGTTGTATTAGTTCTGACTGTGGCACGACATATGAGGTGAATACACGAATTCGCAAGGCCCGGGACGCACTTGCTAATTTGAAACTACTATGGCGTCAAAACGGTGTATCCCTGAATCTCAAGGGACGTGTTTATCAACCTACAGTACGAGTTGTTTTGTATGGCTGTGAGAATTGGCCTGTTCTGGCAGCGGAACTGAGACGCCTTCGTGTGTTCGAGAATCGTTCTATCAGAACCATAGCTCGTGCGGGTTGATGTCGGCGTATCCGTAACGAGGCAGTTAGAAAGCGAGTTTTCAGTTTTGCAACGGTACTCCCATTGAAGAGTGTGTCCAGCACCAGAAGCTGCGTTGGTTGGGACATGTGTTACGTATGCCGAACCATTGTTTGCCGAAGAGAGTGCTGTTTCCCATGCCCACTTCAGAGTGGCGTAAACGGAGATGTGGCCAACCCCTGACCTGGCAGAGATGTATGAAGGAGATCACAAAACGCTTGGTTGCTGTCGGTGCTATCGCCTTCCAGGATTGGAACCGCGTTATCCTCACTGTGCTTTGTTGGAGACACTACAACAACAACAAGATATGGCTTCTAACCGATGTCAGTGGCGTCCTTGTTGTCAGTTTCTATCCGGATTGCCCGAATGAGTGTTTGGAAGTGTAGGCACCTCGGAATGATTGTGTTAAGCTAGCACTAAGTCCTTTTCCCGTCCATCTTTACTCTTTTCTTTACAATAAGGCTTTCAACCAAGTCATGGTTGTGCGGCAGTGAATCATCGGTATTGAACAGTGATGTCATGCTGTCGATGGTGATGATGATGAAACCGTGGCAGCTGGAACCAGCTTCAATGGCTCGACGGCACAAGCGGTTGCCCCCTAATGCCACACCTTAACCGGTTGTACGGCGGCGAAGCATCGGTGTTGAACACTGATGTCATGCTGTCGATAATGATGAATGGGCCTGGATTGAGGACTTTCCTCCCAAGCTCATCATCTGGTTCCGGGAACATTTGTCCGGACCAGCCCAGTTTCTTACGTACCATATGAATGATCTCGGCTTGCTCCTTTGAATGAGATCCTTAAGTGCCAGTGGCCAGATGTCTCCTTTTTTTATACCTCATCTTTCAGCGGCAAAGTCTCGTATCTTGGAGCTAGTATAGGACTGATAGAGGCCAAATCTAGTCTCTGTCCTACTTCTTAAGGCATTTACCAGTTGCAGAAACGTGTTATGGTGCCATCGGTGCATATTTTCCACTTTGTTCTTCTCTTTGCCATTGTAACGGGGTCTGGATAGTTGATCTCAATTCAATTCATTTTAAACCATGTACAACGGGTAAATTGGTTCCACCTGCTACAGTTTAGGTCACGAGAAAATGGGAATGTGGGGCATACAACCAAGCCTTGGAGGCGAAGGCATGTTCAGTTTGTTCGGAACTTGGGTGGCTACGCACTGTAGGTGATAGATTTGATGCATTAGTCACTAAATGCACGATTGGGCCGATTCTGCCAATGTCATTACTCATTGGTGATCTTAGTCCCGGGCTCCCCACCCAGAGGGGCTGACCCGACTAAGTTTACTGGTTAGTGTTTTCGTACCTCGTTGCCTGATCATATACTGTCCACCTGTCGGTCGCCTTCACCCAGCACAGGGCTGGGCAAAAAGAACTTTATGAGGCAGATGATTTTCTGGCATGCGGAGTACATGTCCTAACCAGTGTAACCTCTGGGGCGTGTGTAATTCATCTATCGGAGGTGAGTTCCTTCTTCCGAAGACCATCTGGCGTACCTCAGCATTACTAATCCGACGTTCCCATCAGATCCGTCAAATGCTTCGGTGACACCGATCGTCAAACACTGACATCTTCCGTATGTCCTGTGTGCGCTGGGACCACGTCTCTGATCCATAAACCACCACCGCGGTGTAAACTCTTCTCTTGACAGAAAAACTTACGTCACGTTTGGGCCATTGGTGTTGGGGGTTGGCAAAAGCTTGCTGGTTCTTTTTTATTCGAGATGTAATCTCATCTCCAGCCAATCTACCGGAACTTATACACCTGCCCAGGTAAACATTTATGTAACACGTCGATTGGCTCGCCTGCAAGCATGAGGTTTGGGTTTGATCCCACCCAGTATTCTAGCAGCGCTTCACACTTTGCAGGTATGAAGCGCATGCCAATCTGT